AATCCCTATCACTAGGAAAGAGACACAGCAATGAAACCAAATGTCAGAGAAGCAGAGAAACCTTTCCTTCTGTTTAGGCTTTAACATAAATTTCGTCAGAGTCCCCCGCAAGCCTCAGACTAGACGTTAGCATGTCTAAATGGATTCTACAATGTTGGCATCATGTTTCTGGGTCTGAGCTGATAGTGCCTTGTGGTGTTGGTGAATGAGGCAGGCAAGGAATGAAACTGACAGGGCCAGGAAAACATCAAACATCTCTCAGAAATACAGTGATGGGGAAGAAAGTCAGCCCTCATCAGACAAAAAGAAGGTGATTCTCACAGAGCTCCTGCTCGTATGTCCCTCGGAGGGAGTGCTTCGTTTCACTTGGCTCCGGTGCCAATCAAAATGCCCCCTTGGCAGTGGATAAAATAAAATAAAGAAGGCAGAAATAAATGCCAAAACAAATTCATGCACAGAATGACCTTCCAAATGCTTCAAGGCCCAGCTAAGCTGTCCTCTACCAAATGAACTGAAAGGGCAAAGGGAAAAAATCTATAATTTAACTCTTACTAGAAAGATCTTTAAAATTAGCTGAGGTTCTAAAATATTTGCTAATCTCTTCTTTCTGATGGTGACCTGACATTCAATGAATATCTCCTACTCTACCAGATATTTTATGTGGATTTTACGGTATCATTTCACAATACTATTGTGAAATGGATGTCATTGTCCCCAGTTCACATTTGAAGAAATAAGTCAAGGTCAAGTCAGTTGCCCAAGGTCACATTGGAAAGAAGTGAATCTGAGATGTGTACTTTGTTTTACTCTAAAGTTCATTCCACATTTTATTCCCCCCCACCAGACAACCCCTCAAGTTTATATTAGAATAAGAAAACCCAATTAGATTATTCTGAAATGTCAATGTCTTTTTTTCTTTTATTAAAAAAGATGTCAGGAAATATGCCTCATTCAGAAAGCTTGCCTGGGTGACAAATTGTTGAAATCAATTGTTTTTAAACCATGCAATCGAATTTTTTACACTTTTAGTTTAATTGAGGTGTACGAAGCTTAGTTCACCAGACCAGATTCCAAGTAGATTGACCTGAACTCTTTAGAAATTATTTAGGTCCTCCTTTCACTCTGTTTAGTTCTTAACACAAGGATAATGCAGTCAAGTTCCCAGGGCCACCTGCCAAGGAATACAAGGAGTTTTACATAACCCTAGTAGACATAGCCATGAAGTGTCCAAGGACAACTAGACAAAGGAAAACCTCCTGTCACCAGACTTATTGCATCATGTCAGCCTTAAAAAAAGAACCAAAGAGCTCTGTCATCATTCCAGCAGGAGACCTTGGCAGAGTCTTCCCTGAGAGGAAGATTGTCCACGGAGGCTCCCTTGGCTCCCGATGGGACTAAGCACCATGGCATGGGCCGTGGGGATATTGGAACAGACACATGCAACACTTCTCTCCACAGGATTTCTTGTCTCCACATTTTGCCTGTTGTTAAGGAAAAGTGCCCTCTTCTCCCCACCTGGCTACTAAACAAAAAGAGACCACAGAGAAAGGAGTTTGAAGGGGTCTAACTCAGATGACTCTAGTGGTGAGAGGTTGCAGGGGTCAGGGAAACCTGGGATGTCACCCAAGCTCTGCCATTAACTAGCTGCATCAGTTGCATAAGTTACTTAACCTCTCTGTACTTCAGATGGTTGTGGTAACTAAACTACACAGCTTTTTGAAAGGAAAGCAATACAGTAGAATAGTTAGAGCACCATCTTTGGAGTAAATTGACCTGGAGACCAGCTCAATAACTTAACCTCCCTGCAATGCTGTGCTGGACAATTTGCCTTCTGAGGCAGTTCTCTCATCTGTAAAGCTGGGCTCACAGACACACATCATGTTAGAGATACACAGAGCTACACCAGTGGATCTTTAAATCTTAATGAAAAAGTAAGAAATAGCTAAAACACATTGCCACATATTCATACTGAGGAATATGATTAACTCAACTCTCTGAAGCAGAAGTCTTAAAAACCCAACAACAGAACAGGCAATGAGTGAGTGTACTTCCTAAGGCTGGTGGGGTTAAGTGTGTTAAAAACTGGGGAGGGCTTAGCAGAGCACCTGCTGTATACCCCATGATGGTCACAGCTTTATAAGATTTTTGGATCTGAAGCCTGAATGGTTTTTTGAGGTGCATTTCTAGAGTTTCTGGGAGAACAAGTTATGCCAAAACTGTCCCCCAAATCTAATTTTCAATCTTTTCCATGGGTCAGTTTTCCAAAAATGGGAGCGAGTGCCTCTGAAAATTCACTGTCCTTTTTATACAGAACATGAATAACTCTCTGGTATAACAGAAGACTAGAGTTTGGTCTGTAACATTATGAATATAATGTCAGCTAAAAGTGAATTATGTTAAGTTGGTCATTTCTCATTTTTGATATTCAAAATGATTTAGCCAGGTTACATTTCTTTATGCATTAGACCATTAAGGGGGCACAGTGGTCTTGTCCCATCTAATCCTTTATTAAACCAAATTAAAAATAATTTCTCAATTCCGTTATTAATATCCTCCCTCTGTGAAAAGTGTCTCCCTCAGCAGACCCTATTGACATTCAGTCTAGACGCGGCTGGAGGAACTCGCTTCATGAATATCAATAAATGTGTTGCATAGAGATGGGAGGATATTAAATTATTTCCAAGCAGTTGACAGTTGACAAAATGTTAGTACAATAATTAACAGAGCAGACTGTTTAAATGCTAGGTAGGGGTTCCTCTGTGCATTGGTCATAAGGGAAACACATCTTTGTTAGAGGATAGCTTCAGAAAAAAACTTAACCTTACCTTCAGTCCATTCTGGCTTTACACCTCAAGTGAATCCTATGTGAAAAGAGAGAAAAGGTCTTCTTTTTAAAATGCCATAGACACCTCATTGATGTTCTTGGTTTAGAAAAAAAAATTAATTTATTTATCTACAGGATTTCTCACTTTGATTTTCTTTCTCCTCTGACAGCAGACAAATTCAAATTCTAGTGGATATATTAGAGGTCAAAAGAGGCTTTGTTGGCCCACAGTGTCCTCATTTCCATCCATCTTAGCCCTCATTCAATTCCCAACCACTTTGGATATTCTTATTTCTTTTTTTCTGGAGATGAATTTGAACTTCTATAATTTTAAAACGTTTATCAGCTCTTTTTCAAGTTTGATTGACTGACAGCTAATAAACTAAAGCAATCTTTTATTTGTGTGTGTGTTGGGGGGGGGGGAGTACAAGGGATGAACTCAGGGAACTCGACCACTGAGCCAGCCCTCTTTTGTATTTTATTTAGAGAGAGGATCTCACTGAGTTGCTTAGCACCTTGCTGTTGCTGAGGCTGGCTTTGAACTCACAATACTACTGCCTCAGCCTCCTGAGATGCTGGAATTATAGGTGTGTGCCTGAAACAATCATTCCTAACATGAAGGTTGGCCTGTGATGCTTACTCAAAATATAGATTTCAATACCTGAATGAATCTCTCCATCATGTGCCCCGACAAGAATGGAGTCCTAATTAGAATAAGACATACTCTATGCTTGTATAATTTTATAAATGGATTCTACTGTTAAGTATAACTAAGAAGAACACATTTGGAAGATTTATTCCCTGGGAATATGAGTAATTTGGGTGGAGCCCAGGAATCTGTATTCTTAACCAACACCCAGACATTCTGATTCAGGTAGTCCAAGGAGCACATCTTGAGAAAACCAGATGAGCACATTTCTCATTTTCAGTTTAAACAAGTTATTTGCCCTAGATGTTGACAGAAAGCTGATCAAAGGCCAGGACTGTACTCAGTTGCCCTCCATTGAATACATCTGCTGGGGAGAACCAAATACACCATGCTGATAATGCTCGCAGAAGCTAGCCCAAAAGAACATGGAGAAAGCACTTACTGTGCTCCAGGCATTTTACAAACCCACTCTAATTTAAGTCAAAGTGTACAGAGGTAGAGCTCAGTTACACACCCATGCCTCGACCAACTGCTGGGGTGAGGGGAGCAAGAGCTGATAGTTTTCTCTCTCAATCCAAAACCCCCAGGAATGAAGGGCATCAGGTCAGAGATTGAGACATCTAAATACCAGTCTGCAAGTATGACCCTTCCTCCTTCCTGCAGGCTACCAATGCAAGTATCAAACATCTCCCACTTCTATTTCAGGATCTTTCAGGTTTTGGGGGTTCAGATTGGAAGTAGGTTTCCTCCCTTTTCCTGCTTCAGAAACTGAAGATGCATGAGTTGGCACATGTGGAAACACTTGATATTGACTGGAGAATAAAATTATGCATAGATGGAATATGATTTAGTCCATAAAAAGAAAAAAATCTGACATAGTTAAGTACACTCTGTGTATTCTTTGGTAGATTCATTCATTCATCAAACATTATTTGTACCTGTTGTTTATGAGAACACTGAAGACTGCTAAGGGTATAGGCTGCCACAGACTAAATATTTTCAGTTTGGTGGGGATAGGAGGAGGCCAAATAGGAGACACCCGGGGTAGAGGAGGTAGAATGAAGATAGGGAACAAAAAGAAGGATGAGGGGCTAGAATGAGGGTTGGAAGAGTAGTAGGAAAGTATAACACATTTTAAGTTTGTATACATTTTTGAAATTAACAAAATTATCTTTTATTTATTGCATGATTTATTCATTGCATGGTCTCCAGAAGAATCATCTAAAAAACATGCTGTTAAAATGGGTTCCTGATCCCACTTCCAGGAATTCTGACTCATTGAGTCTGGGTTGGGTCTGGTGGGTCGGGTGTTTGGTCATGGTCATGGATTGACCATGCCTGGGTTGGTACTGAATTAATCCTCAATAAAACACTATGGGACAGGTAAGGTCAGAATTATGATCCACACTTTTTACTGTCTTTTCCCCATAGTTTTATTGAAGTTTGTGGGCTAACAAAAATTGCATGTTTATGGTGTTCAACACAATGTTTGGTGATTTATGTTCACTGAAATATTCTTCTCAACAGCCAAGGTGTGGAATCAAACTACATGTCCATCATCAGGTGAATGGATAAGGAAAAGGTAAATGTGTACTATGGAATAGTTCCAGTGTCCAGCCCCTCTCCTCTCCTCTTCCTGCCCTCACTTTACCACATATTGTCTCCTACCACACTTTACCTCCTCCTCTTCCCACCAAAATGAATACTACCAAACTAACATACCCAGGTTGAACATAGAGACAAATGCTGCCAGGTATCACTTACATTTAAAATCCTAAAATGTCTACATCAGAGCAGCAGAGAGGAGAATGGCAGTTACCGGGGCTGGATGTGGGAGGCATACAGAGATGTTGGTTAAACATTCCCCATTTTTCATCCTTATTGCTAAAAGGAGGAAACTGAAATTCAGAGTAGTCAAGGACCTGATTTAAGATCCCAAAGCTACCAGGACCTTTGATGCCAAGCCTTGGGTTCTTTCTTCTCTATAAGAATGATTTAATGTCAATATACTTTGAGGTTGTACATGGAAAAATCAGAATGACTGCCATTGCCTTTCAAGTAGAAAGAGCTACTACCGTGGATACAAATGTTGTTTTAATGGACTGCAAGGAATTTCCTTTAACTGTAAGTTCTCTCATAACTAGTCTCGGCAAGATGTAATCTATTTCTTCCCCTTAAAGAACCAGGATTCTCAGAGTAGAAAAGCTGGATACCAGCAGTCATCTTTATGAAAATTGCCTAAGTCTTTGGTCACCTTGCAGCTGAGTTTTAATCAGCTCTTGGGATTTTTGTGAGGAATAAATGAGGATTAATCTTATTTGATTTGAAAGTTTGGGCATGTAGTAAATGTCCAATACATGCTATCTCCCCCACTCCCGTTAAGTAGCTAGTCTGTCATGCAAAAGTAGGTGATAGAAGGGCATGAAGGGTGGAAACTTATAGGGAAGACTTGGTCAGATCCATCAGAGTCACAGGTCACAGGACTTGGAATCACAGAGAACTTTATGCAAACAGACAAACATCTGGAAAGTGGGAATTGGTATGCCAAACTCCCCTGGTCAGAGTAATAATAACCCCTTCAGGGAACTACTGCTTCAAGACCAGGTCATACCCATCCTTTGTGACCAGGTCATCACAACCCTCCAAAGGAAATTTACTGAGGGCTATACAGATGGCAATGCACCACTTTAGGGGGGAATGGGAAACTAAGGCAAGAACAAAAGAACCCAAACTCTTAAAAACCCTGACTCTGTAAGAGCCACAGCATGCTCCTAGAGGTGGTCCTTGGTGTACCCATACTGTAGGTTGTCCTCATCTCTCACATTTCTAATAAACTCCTGTCTCTCCTGTCGCTACTTTGTGTGACTGTTTGCAGTTCTTCCTGCAGGATTGCAAGAGCAGGTGGCTATAGACCCCCATGGCTACTTTGACTCTGTGGGTAGTCTCCCCTGCAATAATTCTTCATCCACCTAGTAAGAATTAAGTATTAATAAAATAGTGAAAGCTTACCATATGCCAACCTATGAACTAAGAATTTAATTTACATTAGTTTACTTAAATCTCATCACCATCCCAAGGATTTGATTTTGCTACCATTCCCCGTTTCATCAATAAAAAACCCAAGGCGAAGAGAGATGAAGATCTTTTCCTGTTCTCACATTACTTGGAGGTAGAACTGGGAGTTCAATCCAGGTATTTTTGCCTCTGGAACTTGCACCTCTTAGCATGCCCTGCAGAACTACTTGTCCTGTTTGGTATCTTCAATTAGTTTGTTAAAAGGTGAAAGTGGACAGATGAGATGAGAACAGAAATTTCCCCTTGACTGCTAAAACCTGACCTGTCCACCACTACTCGTGCATGGTTCATAAATCAACCTAATAAGTGCTGTTTGGGCAACAGCAATGCCACCTTGTTTCATCTCTTCCCCTGGGACAGGGACCAAGAATATTGGCTTCCCCCTTACTCTAATTCCCAGCTCTTCTGGTTCCGAGTCTTTTGCAAGAACGTGCATTTGCTATTTAATCCTTTCAACTTGCTTGTTACTTTGCCTGTCAGCTCTTGCATTGATAGAAGGACCTCTCACTGCCTTTTACTCATTATCTAAATAGTTTGGATGCAAAGAGTTCTGGAGTGCTCCCTCAGGCAGTATGAACTTCTGGTGATGCACACACCCTTCCCGTGCCTGTCTACAGGTGATTGCTGTGTGGTAGGGGTGAAGAAGAAACAAATTAAACAAGGAATCACATCTCTGACTAAAGAATTTCAAACTTGAAAAAGGGGTCCTGAGAGAAAAAATCGTGATTGGTCACATCTCATTGAAAGTGTGAGAAAGAACACAGAGTGGAGTTGCCCCTGCAGGGAAAAGGCTGTCCTGCAGTATAAGGAAGGCATCCTCAGGGTAGTGGTCTCTCACTGAGATTTAAGGGTAAACAGAGGTCAACCATGAAGGGTGAGTGGAGGGATATCAGTCTAACATCCCTATTGTAGGAGAGAACATGGCAAGTTCTCACTGAAGCAAAGATATGACTCAGTACGAAAAAAAATACTGATGTTCCCTAAAGCTGATGTATGAGAAAAGAAAGTGGCATCAAAATAATGCCCCCCACACACACACACACACATGCTGTAGGAAGGATATAAAGTCACTCATTAATTTAACAGGTGTGTATGAAATTGCTACCATATGCCAATATCTGTGCCAGATGTATGTGATGCTACAAAAATGATAAGATATTTATTTGATTTTGGTCATTGATCAAATAAGCATCAAGCATCTATTAATCTGTATCAAATTTATATCTATGTATCTATCTATCTATCTGTTTATTTATCTATCAATCTATTTCAAAGGCTCGTGCCAAATCTAACAAAGTGTAATTCTCAGGTAAGGAACTTTGGCTCCAGAATTTTTTAAATACCAGAAATGATTCATATATACAGCAGTGGTTTAAAACCTGTTTTATACCAAGTTTAAATAACTAGATCAAGGTTCCAATTGTAAGAAGCAAAAATTTAAAAATGATCATGATTTGAGGTTAGTGGTTGGTCACATATTTTCTTCTCCCTAAAACCTGAGGAATGCTACTCAACTCCCCTCTACAATAGTGAGCTCTCTCCACCTTACAGCAAGCCTGGGGAACAAGTCTCCCTTAGGTTCCTGTGCCACTGACCCCATGAAACAAATGTGTTAAGGCCACTCAGAAGGGAATGTGCCCCAATGAGGTATTATTCCTATAGAGAAATTCATTTTGTTTCTCCTTTACTCCTGAGTGATTTTGAAAAAGGCACACTTTATGCAGACCCAGGAAAAAAAAAAAAAAGACAAGCTTTGACAATACATAGAAGGTGAATGTTACCAAATGTATCTGCTTCTCTGCTGATGACCTTAGTTTCCACTTGGTCTTTAGCCTTGGCTAGTAAATATTTGTGTGCAGTTAACATAGTTGTAATAGTTAAGTGCTTCAAGAGCTCATTAACTTGGCATTCAGGACAATCACCCATCACCTCTGGATTCCCAAGGCACTTGATACAGCTGGATCACATGCCTGTCCCTGAACTGGGGGAATTAGGTAAGGGCAGAGCATCCTACTAAATCCCTAAAGCACTTAAAAACACACAGCATGATCTGCCCACCTATGGAAACTGGCAAAGATAATGGCAAGGAATGCATCAGGGAAGGAAAGACTGAATTCAAAAAGCAGTAGAAACTCGTTTTTAGCTGGGCCGGGCCTAAGCCACGTGAGCACCTATAATAACCTGGACTGGGTCCATCTATGATGGTTCCATTTGTTTTACAGGAAACTCTTCCTTTTTGAAAGAGAAATGCTAAGCTTTTCAGTGCCTCCAGCAGAACATGCTAATGCCTTGATTCCAAGGGTGTGGATCACATAAATCTGAAGTATCTCTGGTTTCGGTGGGAATACTGAAACCTTTCTCTGCTGACGCATCTAGGAATTAAAGAAGCGTGACAGCTTTGAACTGTTGTCAAAAACTGCATGGAGTCTCATTTCTGGAAGGGATGTTTCATTTTCTGTGCTTTCAACTTGGAAGTAGATCCTTCTTAAACTCTCCTGCTCCCCCCACCAACCCCAACTTTATTCCACCCTTCTTTTGGCTCTACCAAGAAAAGTTAGAATACCAGGGGTATGAAGATTGAAAATAATTTAAGGATTGTAACGACCATTGCACTTTGTTGGCAAAACATAAAATTCCAATGTCAAGAGTTTGTTTTTGAAAAGATTTATATATTTATCCCATACATATACCTCACGTACAACCTCTGTTTTGTTTTGAGAACAGGAATTTGCAAGCTTGGGAAAGAAAGCTTGTCACTACAAGTGACTGGAGGTTCTTCTTTTAATTGGTATTCTGGGTCTCTTGTTGGAGAAAGGTATACTGTTGAAGGAAAATGTTGACTTTCATAAGCCTGGTAGTTTGAGTTTCCCAACTTGTCCTGGTGGTATCACTAAAGAACACTTTGTGGATTTGTAATCATTTATTTCTGGTTGCACTTGAGAAATATGCAGTTGGAGCCTGTTATGAAGCAACACAAATTACTAGAGAATAAAAAAGAGAAAGTAATTTAAAAAATTAAAATGTGCTTTTAAATGATTACAAACCTGTGAAAATAGGAACTTTGTACAATGCACTTCAAGGGAGAATATTTGTATACTCCAAAAAAAGCACAGTGACTCTTAGAATTGACAGCAGGAGGTGTTGGTTGTGTCTGGAGCTGGCGGTTTTAGGCATGGCTTTGTAAGGAGACAATCTGGCCCCTGAGGTATGCTAAAGGAATAAGAGCACTAAAATGTGAAGGGAAAGGTGCCAAGTGGAGAGCTATTGCCAAGTCAAGGAGTCAAGTTGGGGAATGAATTATGGTTGGTGATCTTGAGCTGGTAACATCACCTGTCTACACAGTTGTGAGAAAAAAATGGCACATTTATTGTGTCATTTATTCTCACAACTGTCTTTGTGGATGCACCCAGAGAGGCAGGGGAAATTCAACCATGGGTAGAGTGGTTGCCATTGAACATCAAAGAAAAGAACAAGCAAAACAGTGGTTGAAAAGGTAAAGGATGGAAC